ATCAATTTATAAATTTAGTAAAAATTAAAAGCTTATAAAAAGATTATTAACTTCTTAAAATAAACTTTAGCTCTATACATAGTATTCAGAAAGTAAATTTGGGAATACATTTATATGGAAAAATGCGACTCGGCTACGTTCTTAACAAATCAGATAAACTGTGAAATAAACAATACAATACCACATTTTCTTATAATATTTAAGTATAGTAGGTAATTACATTTCTGGTTGAGTAGGAACTATGAAGAATGATAAGAGTAAGAATAAGAAAGTAGGTATCTCATCATCAAGTACCTACAAATTATATTATGCTAGAAAAAGTGACTAGCTTACCTTTCCTGTTCAATAGGTACCTAATCTGAACCATAGTATAAATACTATGTCTGAACAGAGACAGTTCTGAAATCAATCAATTATTAAGACACCCAAACACACAGCAATACGTTCTTCTACGATTATCAGACATTTTTTATTTCATTGAACAGTGCCGAAAAGCCGTGAAGCGCGCGCCAACCTCGTGCAGTGTTAGCCCTGCCTGGCGCACTGAGAAACGGGTCGAGATTTTGTTAAAGTGTGCGTGCGTCGACGCGTAGATACTATGGCGCACACATATAAGCCGCGCGCGGAGCATTTGTATGAAGATAACCTACTTTGTTCTTTATACTATGACGAGGACACCGGTGACCGCAACCTATTGTTTTTTAATTGTGTCTATAATGCGGTACTCAAAGAGCTAAATTAACAAAAATTGCTAGTTACTCACGTGAATATACTGAGAAAAGCTCTACTAGTTTCGAACCACAGAGGGGTTCTTCCTCTTGAGCGGCGTGCGCGGTCGCGGCGATGTCGCACAGCCTACTGATTTTTAGTTAAACTAAATGGTATTGACTTTGCTACGAAAGGGGTTATATAGTTTTAACATTGAATAATTATTGAGATTTTATTGGGTTGAAATTCCATTCACATTGATATTGGTTTCAAGAGTAAGCACCCAGGACTGATTAAACCTGTTGTTTAAACTGTATTCTTGTAGTGGAGTATCTAGGGATTTTGTTGAACGTTTGATATTGTGGCTATTGAGTATGATATTTTAGTTTCATGTCACTACCGAAATGAAAGATTGTTATCCTGGTCTATATGTTATTATGTTAATGTATGTGTATAAACAAATAACTCGTCTAACTAATAGATTACACACAAACTTAGCAAAAGAGTGGATACTTCTCAAGGAAATATGTTCGTTGTACAGTCAGCAACAGTATTTAGTATGCAGGTAAGAAAACAAAGATTAATTAATTATAGACAGTACTTATTGGTCGACTACTAAGGCCACCAATGTTTATAAAGGCTTGTCTTAAATACAATATTTACTACAAAAAATAGATACTGTCTCTATACTGAATCTATACTTATTTCCTTACCGGTATAGATACCAAATGCTTTGGCTAACTATAGCCATGGTAAATAAATGATATGGAGTTATTATCACTTGTTAGTATATAAGAAGTTATGCTAAGCATCAATGATATGCTGCTAACAATATTTATATGGAAATGATTTGATAAATTTATGCATGTTTTGAGAACACCGATCATTGAAAATTCTCAGTATTAGTACTAGTCAAACGTAATAAGCCTTCTTATTAGCAATTAAAATAACTTAAATGCAATTTTATTATATTCTTATACTTAATTCTGAATTATATTCTCTTTGACCTACATTTGAACGCACATACATATGAGAAACATACATGAAATAGAATTTGCGTAATAAAAGTTTTAAAAAGGAATATTAGAAATTATAATTACTTATACTAGATTTTTAATAATAGTAGTTGTTGTATAACAGTATTATTGAACATAACATAACATCACGCCTTTTTATCCCCGAAGGGGTAGACAGAAGTGCACATTTCGACACTTAATGCCACTGTACAATGTAACACCCACTTTTCACTATTTATGTTATGAGTGCCATGTAATAAGGGGTGAGCCTATTGCCATATAACTGGCACAATTCCAGACTCCGTGCTACTACTGAGATTTTTAAAAACCCAGTAAATCTTTGCCCGACCCAGGAATCGAACCCGAGACCCCTTGCCCGGCAGTCGCACTTGCGACCACTCGGCCAACGAGGCAGTCAGTTATTGAACAGTTTATAAGAAAAATCTGCGAATCCACACGACATTCTCGATACTACTCTGCGATTAAGAAACATATGTTTTAGGGCGGTGGGACGTAAACTGGGACGAACGCACACAGGCGTAGTAGTAAGCGGAGCGAACTATTGCAACCAATGAAATCTTGCATTAAGTCGGAACAGTCGAAGTTATTTCGGGAAAACGTCTGGACTCTCTCCAAAAAGTGGAGGGAGTAAAATCAAAACCACTCGGTCACTTTCCTCATTGTGTCAATGACATGTGTGAATAAGAGAGCATCAGAAACCCTGAAATCTGTACAAGAACATGTTTCAAAGAACTATCTACACCTATATTTATAATCCGAGTGACGTATCCCCGTATTCCCGTATTCACATTTGATTTTTACGCGGGCTAACGTGTGGGTGTCGGAAAATATCACATAAGCGGAATCGGTGAATCAATTCAGATAAATAACCAGACGGAGTAGATAGAAAGCAGGCAGAAAACGTTTTGCGCATACAAATAGAACGTGTGAGTCAGATTTTTCGGTAAAGATCTCATTTATACTTAGTTTCATGTCGTAAATCTTGAATTACTTACAATTTTATGCCGCTATCTACAATTACTACCGATATAAACAACACTGTAGATCATATATTATGGAAGTTGATACATACATATTGAATTTGAAACCTTGTAACAAAATCCAATACAGCTAAGTCTCTCGTAAATGCTAAGGTAATAAAATAATCGCTGTGTAATCATAATTATTTGAAATGACCTATGAACAGAAAACATATCATCTTTCTGTTAACTTTATATTAACTTAAGTACGTTCGTCCTTAGTTCTTTACTGATTTTTCTTGGAAGAAGAAACCAACCACTGTCCAGTGGAGTATTTTTACCAGCTGACTGTACAAGCAATACATTTTTTTTTAAACTTTGCCCCACATTACATTTTCTCCTGTGTCGTGGGTGCGTTTACAAACATACAAGTTCACATACACAATGACACCCAGACCCGGAACAACAATTTGTGGATCACACAAAGTGTTGTTCCGTGTGGGAATCGAATCCGCGACACGTTGCACGGCAGCCGGTTGCCCAGCCACCGCACCAACCGTGCAGTCGATTAAATTAGTCCTTGCCTCAAATGAAAGATTTACGAAGCATTTCATCCGACGTTGTGATGAATGTGTTCTCGTAATTAAAATTCAGAACACAGGCCATTATTTACACTAATATTTATTAATACTTCTATTATATGATAATCTTATTTTATTATCCTTGATAGTTGTAATATATGCATTAACATTAGATCATCATAAAACCTGTTGAGTAACCTTTAAGTACTGTATCACGAATGGTAATGAACATGTGAGGACATTTGAACGAAAAATTTACGGAAACTCAATGGCAAATGATCATCACCTTTTTTCTAATGAGGTAGGCAGAGGTGTAACATATTGGTGATATTTTTTATTTTCATATAATTGGCGCCGTTTCACCACTATCTCGCCTGGTGGTAAGCGATGATGTGGTGTATAATGGAGCACGTCGTTCCTTAAGCAACCTCTTCACTCAGACCTTGAAAACACCCAGGTAGGTAGGCAGGTAGGAAATCCACCCCATACCCTTCAGGAAAACAGACTCTAATAAATAAATAAATATTTCATTGTTTGTTTATTTGCATTACCTCCGACACTACTAGGTTGATGTGGAAAATTCTATCGCTATTAGAATATTCACCTGTCGGGAAATAACACAGATGACTTTATCCCGATATTGCTAATATTGCTACCGATCAATAAGGACTGAAAATTCTAGAATATTTTAATTACCGACTTTGTTTTTAAGTCCAATATGCATAATAATTATAATAATATATAAAATAGGTAATTATACCGTGATTCATGAGAACTATCTTAAATATAGACTTCTTAAAATAGTATAATTATTTGGCTAGTTACGTAAATGCGTGAGGAACAATAATAATTGTTAATTAACTTTAGGAAAAACATTATTTTCATCTACTCTTCAATGGCTTAAGAATTAAGATAAGATACGGTTAACAATGAAATAAAGATTGCACAGTTATTTTCATGCAAAGTGTTAACATTTGCACAAATTATGCACAAGGAAAAAGTGCTTGAAAATCCAAGATTTTCTTAGCATGTAATTTCTTATTTTCTCATGACTTATAATTATAAGTAGGTTAGTGTAGATGTCGCTATTTACGTTCCGTGGACTGATGGAGGATACATGAAAATAGGTCTTAAATAACACTATTTAAGACATCAAATTTTATCATATCAATTAAAAAAATCACCTATTTCTTTATAGTTTCCATGAAACTGCATCTCAAGTCTTTGCCGAAGTAAAATAAACAACGATACAATGTCGGTGCCGAAATACAACTTGAGCAACATAACTTAAACAAGTTTTGGCTGGGTTCAAAAACAAACCATTCAGACGACACTGTTCGTCCCATAAAGCAATTAGCTTGTTATAATATTATTATAGTTAGACCATTCAACCACATGAAGTTACACACATGTTACAAATGAATACCTACTCCCAAGTAATTAACGGAATGCCGTGAGCTATTAAATTGGTCGGACGTCTTCAGATAACGCATACATCTGTTTTATTGCCGGCAGTCGATACTCTTAAGATAATGCACGTAAACAGATATCGTTCGAGAGTTATCATGAGCACAACATTAGCTGATGTAAAGCAGAGCGACCTCCGAGTCGAGCAGATTCGTTCCGCTACGATAAAGGGATTAGTTCGTCACGGCGCACGGCATTTGTTATATTCCTGTTGCTATACCTACGTACTTTGAGGAAAACGTTTATGCTTAGGATATGTCGATAAGTACCTGACCAAAGAATCGTTCCCTCGCAGCCGCCATACTCTCCGTTCGAGGTGAACTTGATCCTGATCTACTATCGTTAGCCTGTTGCATCTCGTTCTCCTCCTGCCGCGGGAGCAGCCCGTCGGGCACGTCCACGGCTGTAGGAGCAGCCTGCACCAGCGTCTCCGCCGGCGCAGCTTTCTCGGAGCCGTCCTCTGCCATCGTCGCCACTTTTTGCACGGCTCCGTTACCTTTTCCACTACTCACACTACTATTCTTCTTGCTGACACCCTTTAGTCCTTTCGTTTTCTTCTTGTTCTTCGCCTTCTTAGGCGGCTTGCCCACAGGGAAGCGTCCGCTGGCGCAGCACTGCACGTTACCCATGACGGTGCGCGCGCATGTCGCGGTTTACTCGATCGGCGGGAGTCGGCTCGGTCGGTCGGTCGTTCGAAGCGCGTCGGCGTCGGCGCCGACTCGCAGAATGAGTGCGGCGTGAGAGTCCCCGGCGTCGCGGCGCCGCCCACCCGCCCCGGAATTTTCGACGTACTTCAGAATCACACTGACCGCTGATTACGCGGATGCCGTCCGCGAAGGATCGCACCCGAAAGCCGAACCGCGAGCCGGCCGCGCTGGCGTCATCGTGCGCCCCTGCCTCCCGCGCACCGCAAGGTCAAGGCGCGCTCATTGTTCCCGCTGGTGCTACTGGCTAGACGCGCGCCGCTCCGCTCAGATGCCCGACAACTATGCCTGGCGCACCACCACTACCACAACACGCGACCCTCTTCCAACTGCTATCGATCACGCGATGTTTATGTTTGGCTGCCACGGGAACGGCACTGTACCTCGTCGATAGCGTCACGCCATTTGAACACCCCAGGCTTGCATATCGTTGACACGGTTGCCGTGAAAACTGTTGATTTTTGCACTAGTACGTGTAGTGTTACCGTGAATGTTTAGTTACTAGTGTTACTGCGGCGAGCAATGTTTTGTTATCGTGCGCGCGAGAGGCTGATAGTGTGAGAGGCGCACGTGTCGTGTCCGTCGCCGAGTAGCCGTAGTAAATAAACCGCTGCTGCTCGTAAACGACATGCGCCGCGGAAAACTGACGCATAACTATATAATGATACCATATTATTAGTGTAAATATAATAATATTATTCAGTTAATGAACAGGATATCCAACCGCGATTTGTTATATTTAGAACAACAATTAATTGTTATTATGTAATTAAAAATATCATAAGCATGCAGATACCTACTTAATCTAAAGTGATACCTAATTTTACAAACTTTCCTGTTCGACTGAAAATATTGTGTTCGAAAAGATATATTTGGATGCCAACCGCTATCTAAATATCAATATTTTATTAGAATAATAAAAGATCCACGAACCGTGGTTTAAGTTGAAAGAGTATGATACCTCTACACGCAAAGTCCTTTGTACGTAAAATATTTATGTTGACCGTGTCACAACTTCAGTTGAGATGCTGTGCTTGCAGCAATAGCTTTTAGTGTTACACAGCACGACATGAGAACACAGGATTTATGGCTGCACTCTACATTTTTGTAAAAAAAAAAACATTTTAAAAGTCACCAAAACAAACGTGTTGGGTAATAGTGTGTCATCTCCAAATTGCCTGTTCACTTTGAAAGATATTTGGAAATAAATGTAGCAACGCTTTTCTCTCAATTTTGTCAGAAAATAAAAGTTAAAAGTTTCACTTTACAAATCCGAGTCACATACTTACTGTGAAAAGTCATAAAAACACTTTAAAATTATTAGACCTTATATTAGGTACCTATTTTTTATACAGAATTAATTATGAACAACGATCTACATCTCCATATATTATGTCCTACGCAGTAAATAAAATGAACCCATACCCATCTTTCATGATCTGTGTCTTGTCAGTTTATTAGTTATTCAGTTTTAATTAAACGTGGTCACTGCCAAAATATAGTAAGGTACCTACTCCATAGTATGACAGAACACTGTGTTCCAGTTTCTCAACTTTCCATCGCCATAATAAAACACAGCGGCGCCGACTGGCGCACGCGCACAACGAAACACATGCTATTTATGATTCAGATATGGGACGCGATTTGACCGAGAGCGATAATGTTTATTTATTGTAAATATTAAAAATATGCCAGACACCTTGATCGAGGTTTTATGGCTGAGCTTTATAGATACCGACTTACATTTGTTTTGCGGAAAATTGCGAAGGCCGGCAACTGGCCTCTGGAGTTTTGCTTTACATCATCAAACAGATGCCGTAGTTTTAAATAATTAGCAATTGAGAATCCTCCTCTACCTCTATATAGGGCCGATTGTTGAATCATCAGTTAATTCTTAACTGTATAATAAAATTGACATTCCACAGTTATTAATTATTATGGAAGAATTGTCAAATATTCAAAGTTATTCCACGTAGGTATACCTCTATAGTAGTAGCACGGAGTCTGGAAATGTGCCTGGTATATGGCAATAGGCTCATGTTACATCTGTGTGCACCTCTTCCTCTCACCTTCAGGGATAAACAGCGTGATGTTATGTTATGTTATTCCTTACTTAAATTTTATATAATAAAACGCAATTCTTTTCAGCAAACCTAACACTTTCTTCTAAGGAAGATTCGCAGATGTTTTTACCAGAGAAGCAACTTAATCTTTACTTCAATGCATCAACCATGTTCTTGGTACCGATAAAACTACTATTAAAACTATTAAAAAACTTAAACCTATCATCGACCACTACTATTTTGTTTACAGATTAACACGATTCTTCCAAAATGTTTATATTAAAACTACAAATCTAATTTGAACGTTAATCCCATAAAAAACGTGCTGGTCAAAATGGCTGAACAAGAACTACACCTTTTCAGAAAAAAATATTATTAAAGTGGGCGGAAGAAATCAATGGCGTCTTTGTATCCCTCTTTCTGTTTAATGTATGAAACCTTGTATCTAATAATAACTACCTATATATTACGGTTCAAAATACTGTAATGACCAAGATATATACGATAGTAATGCATAGAAACGTATAAAATGTGTAGGTTCTTGAAATAGTAGAATAAACAAATAACATTCATTCGTAAGATATTCACAGAAGTACCTATAGACGTAGAAAAGCGTGAAAATTCGTAGAAATTTATTTCGTTTTTGAGGTAAAAGAATGTTAGTGCAGTACACTACAGTTTTGTTCGCTTATAACAAAGCTATTTGTGACCGCAGTAACTACGATGCTTCTATTTTTGGACTCACACATAACAGACTTAGTTGAAACTCTATCTACAAACTGTAGCTACTCAAATCTTTATTGAAATTCCTAAGTTTTGATACAGTAATGCCAACAAGTGTGGGAGAACCATGCTTCGGGACGAATGGGCTGGTTCGACCGGAGTGATACCACGGCCACACAGAAAACTAACGTGAAACAACGCTTGCGTTGTGTTGCGTCGTGTGAGTGAGGTTACCGGCGGCCCAACGCCTCTGGTGTTCCAGGTGTCCATGGGCGACGCCGATTACTTACCATCAGGTGATCCGTATTTTCGTTTATGGGCTTATACCATAAAAAAACTAATAACTACAAGTTGTTTTTTTCTGTTTGTAAATGTGAAAGCAAGTAAGTTTAGTTACCTCTTTACCTACGCTTTATCTACTCAATAAATCTGCTTAAATTTTGAGCACAACCTTTTCAGTGAGGCCGCAAACCTACTTAATTTAAATAAAGTTAATGGAAACTTTTTTTTAAGTATAACGTTTCAATTATATTAGTGAAAACAATTAAAAAAAAAACGGTAAATAAATCGTTTGTCTGTTAGCTTAAAAGGAACTAATTTACTAAAACTATCCCTGATATTTTTGAGACTAAATTAATTAAGAATAATTCCTTAAGAATTTTCCACTTCATAACCATAAAAAAGTAAGATTATCACTAAACTCACCGTGTCTGCATCGCTTTCTTCGGTAGCTATAGCCACCCCTTTTTCCAAATGCTGTTCAGCATTATGCAGTTCCCTATCCAGCTCAGCAGTTTCCATCTCGAGTTGAGGAGACGACTGCAGTTCCTCCACTCCTGGAGATGGAGGATCAGGGTTTGTCTGAAGCATGTGACGAGCTGGCATCTTTACTACAAGAGGTCTGAAGTTCAAGCGGGAGGGACCTGCAAAGAAACGATGTTTACGTATTAAAAACTTTGTACATTGATTCCTATTTTTTGTTTTTGTTGTGCGGTAATACTCCCACGGGTGTTATAAGGGCCTAAGGAGTTACAGATTTTTTTTATGGCAGACGAGCAGACGGATCTCCTGATGGTAAGCAATCGGCGTCGCCTATGGATACCTGGAACACCAGAGGCGTTGCAAGTGCGTTACCGGCCTTTTGGGGATAAGGAGTTTGAGGATCGTTGGGGATTCAGGGATTTGGGAGATTGGTGGATTGGTTCACTTGTTTCACTTGGTGAAGGGGAGGGTAATTGGGCCTCCGGTAACCTCACTCACACGATGAAACACAACGCAAGCGTTGCTTCACGTCGGTTTTCTGTGAGGCTGTGGTATCACTCCGGTCGAGCCGGCCCATTCGTGCCGAAGCATGGCTCTCCCACACTGCTCCCACCCACACCACACAACATTTAATAGAAACAAGGCAATAACATTCTTTAATTAATCTGAAATTGAACCTGAACTCTTTAAACTGCAATCTCCCACCCGCTTGCCAAACATGGCGATTATGACGAATCCCTTCTATCAAGAGGAAGCTGATGGTTTGTATTTATGCGAAACTTGAATACAAAATACAGAACAAGTCACTCGCTGTCTGCCGTGTCTATAGTAACTTGGAGGTACTATCTACTGATATGCAAGCAACTGGCCTGATATACGGCTTTAATTTAAACGTCACACAAGCTGATGCCGAACAATACGAAAAATAATTAAACCTTAATGACTTGTTATGCTTATTTAGTGTCTAGAACAAGTAAAATCATGCTAATAGAACACTTTTTTTATTCCATGAAGGAATAATAAGAGGAGCACTTGTTCACATCCACTTTAACCTGTGTTCCACGTAAGATAAGGCTTTTGCCATACATGACGCATGTCGCGGAGAACCTAACGGGTTACCGGGGCTCCGGCTCAACGTGCAGGAGAAGGAACGGGGTGGTTTTTAGTCAGTAAGAGTAGAACACTCCCTCTGATTTACCCACCTTAAAAAAATACATGACGCATAATTAGGATGATGACAGGGTATGAATATTAAAAACATAATTTGTCCGTATGTAAGGTAATGACAAACTATTAGACGTATTGTTTTGTTTTGTCGTATAATAAAACAATACTTAGATAAAACGAATCAAAGTTTAGGAATGGGGGCTAAAACGTCATTTCTACGCATAAAATGTACATAGAAGTGACGTCACGCGACATTTCAAATCAATATAATAGTCGAAAGTATTCGTTTCGGTAAGAATATAAAAATACGTGTCTAATGAGATAAAATAATCTACCAGACGGACATTAAAATAAAAATTAGGCATCTACCCTATTCCAGACTATCTCATTCATTAGTTCAGATTATCTGTGCTACTAATATTATACCTCTATAAAGAAACGACAACCTAACGGGTTACCGGGGCTCCAGCTCAAAGCAGAAGTAAGAACGGGTTTGTTTTTAGTCAGTAAGAGTCTCAAACTCTCTCTCACGTCGCCTAAGGCGGGAGAAACTATAATAATGATAATTATTCTCCCGTCAAAAAGACTTCGGATCCCGAAAGATACCCAAGAGACGTTGTGTTGTGAATTTGTGATATATTACGGTCATGCTTCTTAAGGTATTAGCTTGTACTGGCATTTACGTCTACTAAACTGTAGTTCTAATCTCTCTAATAACTTTGTAAACATATTACGCAACCCGCACGTTAAGTATGTACAGTTTAACCTTGGCGAGTATTAAAAAGAAGTTAAATTGTATTCTTATGCATTATGTTAAGCTTCAGTCAATACGAATTTGAATGTGAATTTATATGCAACTCCGTAGATACTAATTAGCGATTTATACCTGTTCTATTAGTTAATTTGCGTCGCGTTGTTTAAATGTATATCGATATCGATATTGTCTATTTTATCTTTGATAATTATTCCTGTCTTTCGATATTTTCCTTCTAGTAGTAATAAAAAATGTTCCTCTTTCAAGTCACTTCTGTGCTAATGTTAGTACTCACCTTTCCCGTCATCTCTCTGCAATTTCTTCATAACATCTCGTGCACTATGAAGAGTTTGTGTTGCAGTAGAATGGATAGGCCTTATAGACACACGCTGCAACCCACTGCCAGGCAAAATGGATGTCACCACTTTTCTAGGCTCCTCTCTCTCAGGGCTCTTGTACTGGGTAATCAAACCCTCATCTTGGTCCGCATCTATATCTATAAAGCATTCCTCAAATTGCTCAAAATTCTCCAGATCGGAATCTAGTTCACTCCTCGACCCATGCATTTTAGGTCTGTAAAAAGAGTCCGAATTTCGCCTATAGTCCATCTGCTTCGGATCTGGTGTGGAGTAACTTCTTATGATGTAACCTCTTTGTACGGTTGAAGGGGTTGCATCAGGATCGTTTTGTGGTGCTGGGGAGGAATAGCTTCTTGGCAACAAGCTCCTTGTACTCTGTGACTTGCGTTGCTGCTGCTGCATAGTTCTCGTTGAAATCAAACTCTTCCCGCGGCCTGCACTCTGTACCTGCTGGTAACTGCTGGAACTCGGTTCTTTACGCCGCATGGCGCAGCTTTACGCAGTTTAATCGTCTCCTCAACGTGTGGAACAGTATGGATCTCGGGACCAACTGACATACGGAATAGCACGGCTGCAACTTGTAAGATAACTTTGTGATCTATTGATATCGAATTCCAGCTGATTGGATTACAGTATCGCATAACAAGGCCGGGTGCAGCCAGATGATATATCATATGCTAAGGAACAGTGAACACGATCGACTAATACTTCTGTGCGCAGATGATAATTCGGTGACCCACGCCCTGATTTTTATCTATGATCAGATTCACAATTCATTTATTGTAATCTGTGGTTCACGTTTCACGGCTTGCTGCTGTAAAGGTTGATTCAATTACAGAATAAGGTCTTATCCACGTGTTTGATATCGCACTACCATGCACCGCAAACATTGAACTGTCACTTATCTTCGACACTTAGCGGAGTATAAATATACAGACTCCTTTTGTGAACACCGATTGTTTCTAATTCACACGCACATGTTAACTATTACTGCGATAATATATTAATCACTTATAGCTACTTATTTATATTTGTAGTACTTAAATGTTATATTATAAGTGTATAGCGTGAGATATGCAACATACAACTAAGCTTGATGTATTAAATGTATACGAAGAGCCTTGCGTACGCGCATCGTGGGCGGACAACTTTCTCTTTTTAGGCCATGCTCCATTGATATTAAAAGCATAAGAAACCACTTATAGCACTTGTTGATTTACCTACACATGAATCTATTTACATATTTGTTTTATACTAATTAAATAGTTGTAGTAAGTTGATACCTAGTCCTGTTTGCAATGGAACAAGAGGTTTTAAATCACCAGCAAAAACTGAGCATTGAAAATATCATAAAGTAGGTATAACTGCAAAGAAGTAACATCACTATGATTATACTATCATCTTACCAGATATGTTACGGTTTAATAAAGGGGGAATCTAGATACAAGACTCCGTGTCATTACTAGGATTAGGATTCGTTAGTACGTTTTATGACCAATGAGTCTAAGTGATAAACCTTGCAATTTTTCAACGTGTCTAAACACAACAATAATTGATTTTGTTAGATACAAACTTTTCGCTATCTCAAAATCCAAAGCTACTAGGGCTACTACAGCGCAATATCCCTTTTTCTTCAATTCGCCCAATCAAACGCCATCGTTCTAGAAATAGTTTTCCTTTTCATAACATTTGTTTAATAACCTATCCACCATTAAATTGATCGTCCTCTTCCTTTCTATCAGTCAACATTGAAATTCAGACCTCACTTTGTCACATTATCTTCATCCCTTCTCATCATGTCTCCGTTGTCCGTACTGGAAATGCGTATAAATAATATTTATTCTGCGTTTTTCTCTTTTTAAACAGATATAGTTAAGCAACTTTCAGCTTATTTATGCTTCCTTTTATTTAGGTTTCCTATAACATGGTCATATATTATTTTATTCTCAGTAGCATGCACTAACTCAAAACCGATTAGAACCGGATTTACAAATTCAACTTTACTTTAAACTACTTTTTTAAATAAAGCCCTTGATGTCCCTGGCAGTAAGGATCCAGCCAAGTAGACATTTAGGCTGCAGGGTTTTTCTTTTTAAGAAATCGGGACCCGGAACAAAATTTGGTACGAGCACCGATGAAACTGATTGACCGAGCGTTGGACTGACCTCTAAAATAACCATAATGATTTTAGTACATTATGATAACAGAGTAGTCTAGGACTGTCTCATTGACTGAGTGGTCGCAAGTGCGACTGCCGGGCAAGGTGTCTTGGATTCGATTCCCGAGTCGGACAAAGTATTACTGGGCTTTTTAAGAAAAACTCAGTCGTAGCCCGGAGTCTGGATATGTGCCCGGTATTTGGCTACTCATAACATAAATAGTGAAAAGTGGGTGTTACATTGAGTGTCGTAATGTGTACCTCTGCCTACCCCTTCCGGGATGAAAGGCGTGATGTTATGTTATGAGTTGTTTAGGTTTAGAACCTATGCTATAATCTGACCCAGTTATCATGCACATATAAAGCTTGCGACTTCACCAAGGAATGCAACGTAATGGCCTACAATAAAATTATGGTATGATAGCTGCCATGTAAGGTTGGATAAGCAATAAAATACTAATATGTTCTGAATTATAAATAACTAGCGACCCGCCCCGGCTTTGCACGTATGCAATATGCATTTATTATATACGAACCTTCCTTAAGAATCACTCTATCTATTAAAATAAACCGCATCAAAATCCGTTGCGTAGTTTTAAAGATCTAAGCCTACATAGGGTCAGACAGACGCGGATAGCGACTTTGTTTTATAATATGTAGTGATTGGACGCACATAAAAAAGTATGAAATGAAAGGATTTCGTAGTACGAGTCGAAGTCGTAGAAACCACAGGACGATATGGATACGACATACTAATTGTTTATAATGTAGATACTTCTTTCATTGAGAAGTTTTTTTATAAGATACAGGATCAATCAGTTGGGTACTTTCCTTAATCAAAAATAAATTATTTCGACTGTTCTATGTCAATACCATATAAAAAAATAATCACACTTTCATTAATTCATTTTATGACTAACTTAATTAGCTTTTTTGAGAAATAAGTATGCTGTTTGACGCTAAAAAAACGTGACGTCACAATTCACAATCTCGTACAAAATTCATAGATAACTGTCGTTTCTGACAGTTCTAAAAAAGTATTGAATTTGGCAAGTACCCAATTGTCTGATGGTAGCTTCACCCATGCATGGACTCCTGCAGCACCATAGCAATTATAAATGCGTCAATGCGATACTGGCCTTTTGAAAAAGGAAAACGCACCTTGCTTTCTTTTTTTTTTAAAATATGGGGTGACAATCGTTGCAAAGTTTTATGGTGCAAGACAGAAAGTGGAACGATAAACGAAAAAAACTATTTTAATTAATGTTTAACCTATCAAAGGCAAACCCTATGTGGAGATGGCCCATGGTCCACCATACAGCGTTCATGGGTTTTTGCTGCCATATTATTTATCACTTCAACTACTTCATTAGCGACTTGTAAGCATGTACACATTGCATTATCAGTACATATGCTCATTCATTTATAGATACTCACGTTATTTAGGTACTCTTGTAAACAATTAAATAGACGAATCCATTTAACTCGTTAACATTTTCAGTTTTGTTTACCTTCAAACTTTTCTAGTAACCATAGTCATTTATGATGATAAACGGTGCCCTTCATTCATGAAGAAAAGCTTTTATATTCTACGCCATCTATACAAATGGGTGCTAACTACATGATGGTCTCGCTTGCTTGTTTGCATTTTGCTTGCAACAAATATCGCTAGATGGTGTTATTTGTGTAAAAATTAATATTATGATTATGTGTATGTACTACGTAGATAATTATGTATATGATATATAGCACCACTGTAGCGTAAACATAAAAACATGTTTTTATTAGGTAGTTATTGCATTTCTTTATCAGAAAGGTACTTAGTATGTCAGTGTGTTTGCGTTTATTTGTAACTAGAATATTTTTCCAAACACATAGGTACCATTACATATTCAAGTGATAGGTGATAAGAAGAATATGTCAAGAGAAAAATAGTCCTTAATATAAGTACAATTAAGAGCTTTTCTTCTTTGTTATGAAAACTCGATTCTATTTTTCTCTTTTTACATTTTGTGGGTATGGAGACTTAAACAAATTAAGACAATAATATGCAGTAGATCTGTAGATACAACCATTTTGTGTATAGCTAAAACAATAACTGCGCTACCTGTATTACTCAGGTAGGTAATATACTGTATAAAGAGGAGAAAGGAGTCTAAACTAGTTTCTGAGCTACTAGAGACGTTGCTAGCCATAACTACAGCATATCGATAAAATATTAAACTAGAAACATAAGCCTTTTATCCCCGAAGGGGTTGGCAGAGGTGCACATTTATGCCACTTAATGTCACTGTACAATGTAACACCCACTTTTCACTATTCATGTTATATCCCGGGCACATTTCCATCGGGCATCTTACTGATATTATAAACTAACTTCTGCCCGCGACTTCGTACGCGTAATCCCGTTTTATCCCGTCCTCGATCGTGATTTTCGGTAAAAAGTAAAAAAAAAAATTTTGGTTAAAAAGTATCCTATGTTGGTCTCCTGGCTCTAAGCTACCTCCCTACCAATTTTCAGCCAAATCTATTCTGCCGTTCTTGAGTTATAAGTGGTGTAACTAACACGACTTTCTTTTAGAGGTGTATATATAGATTGGACAGATTGTATGTAGGTATGTGTGTTACTCAACCAAGCCAAAACGCCTGAAGGGATTGGAATGAAATTTGTAATAAGGGTAGAAAACACATTTTGTTTTTTTTTTTGAGGGGGGAATATCATACTATTACTTCTCCCGCCTTGGGTTCGGCGAGAGAGGGTGTCACACTCTTACTGACTAAAAATCACCCTGTTCTTACTCCTGCTCATCGAGCCGGAGCCCCGGCAACCCGTTAGGCATTCCGAGGCTCCGTATGAGGTAAAGGACACATAGGCTACTTTTTATACAGACCACAGGTATATGAGCGCTGGCGGGAAACTAGTATATACCTAATTATATAAATATATATTTTATAAAATACTCATAACAAATTCAAGACATGCTATTAATTGATCTCGGATCAGACTTCCAAGGTGATGATGCAGTTTTTTTTTCAGATTTTTGACAATTTCTCCTCGTAAATGTATTAGCAAGGAGTCTGGACTTGTGCACAGTACCTACTTGTAGCAATGAGCAAATTATTTTGACTTTTCAATACAATAAAATATTTTAAAATAATCACACTTTTAGTAATTGATTTTACGATGTAAATACCTACCTACGCGGTTTTCCGGTTTCTTTAGTAATTTTTTAAGAAGTAAGTACAGTATTTGATCTGTCGACTGCCTCGTTGGTCAAGTGGTTGTAAGTGCAACTGCCGGGCAAGGGGTCTCGGGTTCGATTCCCGG